TTCAAAAACAACAGAGTTTATAATGTTAATTTCTTGAACAACTTTGTAGAAAATTTAATTATAACAGAATTTCTTCAGATCAAATATGTTAAAGTTAAACAATTTTTATAACAGTATTCCGAAAATTTATAATTCCTTATAAAAGTGACCTTTAACTTGTTCGATCTGTAAAAATTCCATATGATTAAAAGTCGAAAATAAGATCATATATGTTCAAATCAAAAACTTTATGCAAAGTTATTGATTTTTTTGGTTCCCTACATTATATACTTTCACCCTATGGTCGTCATGGGACACCCCGTATACCTGGCCATGTTTGTTTGGTACTAGATCGTTGTTGTAACCATATACACAATCCACGATTAGGATCTCGAACATATCCATTGATAGAAACCCCATATTTTTTGATGCCAAATAGGGAAGTCGCAGCTCTTTCCATTTTCATAACTTTTTCTCCAGCAAATTCCACTTTTACTTCATAACACTAAAACGAATGCAACATAATTAAGGAAAGAAAATGATCTTTTTAAATATTAATTGAAGTATTACCTCCTCTCTCCATCCATTCAAAACTTCGAAAACGTTCTCTTTTTTTATTTTTCGCAAAACGTCATCTATTTTAGCAGATCGTTCCTCGTAATCACGAAATGCAGGATTTAATTCGACAAAGTCGTTTGTCACTCTAAAAACCTTTCAAAATAATCTGAGTATTTGAAATTTTCGTCAGAAATCGGCGATTAAATGATTACCTCGGGATATTTTAGTAAATGAGTGACAACGTTTGATCTTATTAGCCCCACTTGGTACCCTTCCACAATAAAAGGTCGACATTCATCCTTGAGTGCAGGGGCTATAAAATATTTCCAATTTTGTGCTATTTTTTTAAAATAACGTTACTTTTTTATGATTTAAGTGCCATTATAAAATATTTAAATATAGGAAAATAAGAATACATTAAAAAATTTAATAATTACTTTTTATATGTATTACACTTTACATTTTACTTTTGTTTCTTTTGTTGTTTTAAGCAAAAGTGTAACAAAAATTAACTTTTATTTAAAATGCCCGCCTATTCCATACACCCTGTACATCATACTCGAAAATGTAATAGGTACAATTTATGCAAGTACATACTTACATTCAACAACTCTAAAAAGTGGGCCAAAACTTATTGTGAATAATTGAATATTTTAGAACGAAAGAAATTAATGATTTATAGTACTTAGGTATTTTATGCACAACATTATTTACACTTGTTTAAATTTAAAAATAACGTACTTACACTTTAACAACAATTATTATTACTAAACAAAGTAATTATCATATATTGAAATATTTTAAAATAATTAACACTAATTCTGTTATCCAATTCGCAAATTAACTTAATATTTTTAATATTTGAACAGAACGAGGTCGTTTTCAAATAAGTAATAAAGTAGACATTCACTTTATCAAGTCTGCTTTTTTAAAAATATCAATAATATCAGAAATATGTTATGTGTAGAAGTGTTTAAGAGATAACTTGTTAAAAATTTAACAAGAGCAAATGTTAATACTGATAAAACTAATAGTTTATTCATGAAAAAATAAAACTATGCAAAATTGATCGGTACTTCAAAACCAATTTTATCCTATTTATTTGGTGTGAATTAATAAAATATTCTTTTAAAATAAATTTTCGAATAACTTACCAGATAAGTAGAAACAATTAAACTTTTCGGCCAATTTTAATAACTGAGACATTGTTATTTAATACTGATTAAACTTCACCATCAATACTTTACTGTTTGTTTCTCCTTTTGACATCTATCAATGTCAGCGGCAAAGAGTACGTATGTCGCGATAAGTTTCTTCAACCCTCTTTATTACTCGTTAAGTTCCGACTTACGCAATATCCCTACAGTTCTATTTGATTTATAAAAAGTACTTATTTTTTGTATATTTAGAGCATAATTCAAAATACTATGTTATAAAAACTAATGCAATTATAATATTTATTAGTATTGATGTACAGATTTTTAACTTATCAGTGATTGTAAAAATGTACATTTAGGTACGTTAATCATTACCATTAACTATAGATGAGACCATTAACCATGAAAAGTAGGTGCAGTCGCATGGCGCATGTACAGGAAAAGTAAGTCAGATAATGGTCAGATAACTCAAACATAATAACAGTACGTGCATAAATAGTGTATAATCGGTGTATATTATTTAATTAATAATGCTTATACGTATTTAAATAACTATCGCTGTAATCTCTAGTATGTGGAGCTCTCATTTTGATTGTTAAGTGTAGGTGAGGCAAAGTAATAGTGGTGCAATCGTGTCTTTACGTTTGGTTTTTAGATAGGTGGTTGAAGGAAAATGTACAACGGAATAGGTCTTCCTACCCCAAGGGGTTCAGGAACAAATGGACATGTTCAGAGGAATTGGGCTTTAGTAAAGCCAAGGGTAAAAGATCAAACCTACAAAACTGAAGACGAATTGGCGAAACTTGATGTTGCTAGTCATCGGCCCCCTAACAAGGAAATATTGGACCACGAAAAGAAGCGAAAAATTGAACTTAAATGTGCAGAGTTTGCTGAAATATTAGAAGAACAAGGGTATGTTTATAGATATATATATATGTCAAGTAGATTTAATGCTAACTATTGTTTTACTTAAGATTTAATGAAGAAACCATTCTCAACAAGGTTAACAACTACCGAAACATGCTCATGGGTCACAATACTGATTTAGACAAATCTATTGATAAATGGGGAAGAATCAAGTAAGTTGTACTTTTTGTTTAATTCTTTTAATGTAGTTCAGTTCTTCTAAAATGCCAAGATATATATTCTCTCCAATTCGATATCTTGCTATATTGTTACTTTGTGGTGAAATCTACTTCAGTTACTTAAGTGAAAGACTATAAACCAGAGATACACTAATTGCAAAAGTTAGACACTGACGATTAGTTGGTTTCTATTTCCTTTAATAAATTGCAGGAGGTAATTCACTCAATTTGGCTTTATTTTTCATTAAATTTAAAAATGTGCTTGCTTAGCATGATCTCAACTAGTTTAATATCGCATTTTAACTTAAACCATCCAGTACATTTTTATTCTGGCAAATTTTTATTTTCTTATACAAACTATTAAAAATAGATTTCTGCCCCCCATACAAAATCAGCAAATTTTTTGTTTTTAATTTCTAATCTTTTTACATACCTGAAGCCCTAAATGTTCTTGTGATACTTCTATGTAAGCTGATTAATTAACTTATTTTCTAATTTTGGCTTCTTTCAAAGAATTGATCATTTTCTTTCTTATTATTCATCAGAGCAAAATATATTATCTATCTGTTTTTCATCACCTTTTTTTGGTTGGTTGTTTGCGCATAAAAATTAACAGAAAAATTCAATACTTATGTTGTATATGGATGTTGTTGTTGCTTTACAATCAAGAACATCCTGCGTGTTAAGTAACTTTAAAGATTAAAAAATCTTGACATGAGTTTGCATATCGCTTAATGCATTATTTTATAAATGCAACTTTTTTTTTCTACTAAATCTTCGGAAATGGGTTCGTTGTAATAAAACATAATTGGGTGTAATATATTTTAATGACTTCTTACGTCCGTATTACAATTAAGTTTACAGGTAATTAATGATTCAAATAATCGTCTTTATAATTCTTACTTAAAAGTTTATTACTATTATTCTAAAATTTCTTTTTAAATTACTGAAAAGGGAGGTTTTATAATCGGCAGATACTATCGGAAATAAAATTGGCGTTGGCGGAAGGATCAGAACAAAGGATGCAATTTCGTCATTTCGCTAGGTTTACAATCGATTATTTTGCGTTCCGTTTTGGGGATGGTTTTCGTATGCGCGGTTACGTCGTATCTCTCCCCCTTTTTGCCCCGTCAGACATCCTCCAACGGGATGCCACCATAGACGCTGGACGTCGCGGCTCTAATCAGTAAACCCGTTAGAAATGTAGCGAATAAAATGTGAATCTTAAAACGAAAACATAACAGTGATAAAAACGTCTTCCATACAACTTAATCCCATTATTTACCATGTAGGGGATGGTTTAATTTTAAGGCAATCCAAGTCTTCCAACACGCTATTGTGTATAAATAAGTGTTATTTTTTTGCCGTTACGTGTGCCTGATTTTGAAAATAATCACGTACAAAATTGATAATCTGGTAAAGCTAATAAAAAGAATAATCCTGCGATAGTTTATTCAGTATTAATTACTAAACTAAAGTAAAAAGTTGTGCTTGTTCTCTGCGGTGATTGCGTATTAATGCGGGGACGAAACTTTTATAATAAAGCTACAAAAAAGTGGAAAATAAAATATTTTTGTTCTGCATTATGTATGCTAATAACGGTGGTCATCCGAGACCACGATTCAGTGTAGATGAACGAATTATTTTTGAGCGTTTATGGCGTGGTGCCCTTTACCAAGCAGTAGGAACCCATGTATTGCCCAGGGGTGGACTCAGGAGACAATGCTGTTGCCATTGTCTCCATTGCGGACCGGTACCCAACGCCAATCCTAATTTACGAAACGTCGCTGATAAGCAACGTATGAGGTCTGTTGTAAGGTAATTTTTACTATAGCTAATTACTATTATAATTCGTCCACTTTGTGAAATCTAAATTTTAATAAAAACCTAAAACGATTTATATATGTACGCAACACCCAATTTGATAAGTATTTGAAACGTTTAACAAAGTTTAATTCTGTTTAAAGTCGTCTGGCTCTTTAAATTGATTTAAAAAGCTCAAAGTCCTGTTTTCTGTCAGATTACTGGGCAAAGCTTGTGATTAACGATCTCTGTAAGCGTCACATCCAATAAATGTTTTCAAGCAGTGATTATCGGATTTTAAACATGATTTTCTGAGTTTTATACTATTTCAAATGTACAGGGCGTCGAATGAAAACATTTAATTAGATGTGTTAATTTTTATAGATTTTACATAAATATAAATTGTTTTGAGTGCCTCATACATACATAGCTAATTATACACTAGCTGAAATATGAATCGAGTGGGGCATGTCTATTGTCTTACATTTTCTACTACTACACATTACCCCACTTCCACGACCCTTTACGTCTAGGGTAGTTATTGATTTATTTGCGTGCGAGAATTGTCAGATGCCAACGACGGTAATAGAATTCGGTTATGGCCTGTTCTTGTTACATCCGCATTTTTTTTTGCAGCTCTTGTAAATATTGTTAAATTATCATTTTTTAATTCGTCGAAACCAAAATTATGCTTTATCATATTTGTGATCCAAAGTGCAGGTGAATTGATTCGGAGTAGTCTTTTGTTTTCTTGACGTTAAACAACGCAAAGTCTTAATTGGTAATTAGGGCAAGTGTTCAGGATGGTTTGTTTTAGTTTTAGCATGAATAGCGACCAAAGGTAATAAACAGAACCTATTTTAATGATATCTTTTTTATTTTAAGATGTTTTCTGATTGAAATACAATACTTTTATTGTCTTGATAGTCGGTAAAGTTTTATCTAGTTTGGTATATTTATAAATAAGTGTGTCTAAATTATTTCTTAATGTATTCTGGTTCAATTGGTGAAAATCGCGTTCAGATAGGGTTGACAATTGCAAAATTATAAGCGAACAAACAGATAATAGTAATTCTTTTTTTATTTGCAGTGTAACTGAGACACATCAAGTAGCCGAGGCACAACAAGAGAAAAACGCGCGTTTGCGAGAAGCGTTTGGAATATCGGAATATTTTGTCGATGGGAGCAGTTTTGATCCTAATCGAGATGCGAGAGAGCAATTGGCGCGTTCCGAGGCTTTTAAAGAAAAGGAAAAACAAAGACTACTCGAACGGGAGAAAGAGAAGGAGTTAGAAAGAGCGCATGCATCACGCTACGAACTGGTTCACACGCCAAGTCCGGAACCGGAAGCTGCCGCCACTGAAGAGAAGAAAAAGAAAAAACACAGCAAATCAAAGGAAAAGTATGTTTTTTTGTTCCTTATCGGATTTTCGGGCGTTTATCCCTGTATATAAAAAAAGAGGTTCTTAGTTAAGGACTTTACCGCCTGAAAAATAATTAGAATAGATATTGTAAAGAAACCCGAAGAAGTCTTTAAGGAAGTCAAATTAAACTGTGGAATAAGACAGCCGCGAATTCCTTCCATTTTTCTCTGTTTATTCAAACGTCAACAACAGTTTCCTTTAGATTGCCTTAGTAGTGTATTTTTAATTTTTTCTTGCACAACCTCCAAAAAGTTAGACTTCCTATGACCTGATGACATTGGCCGTGAATATTATTGGCATCGATTATCAATCATATAATTTTACATTAATATATGTTATAAGAAATGAAATATTTCTTTGCAGTCAGCTAATCGATGAGGCAAAGAAAAAGAAATCAAAGAAGCGCAAACGAGAAAAGTAAGTTCAATGTTCACAATTACTGTCGTTTCGCTCACTTATTAGTGGTCGTGTTCATGTTTCTTTCCAATTCAAAAAAAATAATCGTTTTTGTACAACATTTTCATTCATATTATGATTTTTTTAACTGTTTTGTTTCCATGTTGTGTGCGAATTGTTATTTTTATTGTTTGTTCGATTTTGTTAAGTGTTGTTTGTTAATCACAAATAATTATTATATTTCCTCGTACTAATGTAATGGTAATATATTTTTTGCCGTGCGTAAAGAGTTGAGGCCTTCAGGTAAAGGTATGGTTTCGTTTATAGTTTGTAACTGTTTCATTTTGTTTACATTGAAAAATCTGTATAGCGCAACCTAGGCTGGAACCGAAGGTGCGTTATCATCACCTGAATTTCAAACTGTTCACTTCTTTGAATCACTTTTAAAAAAATTTTCAGTTTGACAAACTTGCAGTGTTTGTTCCCGTTTTTACTTGGGAATTCGCCAAGTATCCAAAAGATCCTAATTATTTCAAAAAGTAACTATTTTTGACCCTCTATTGTCTCACAAGTTTCCTTGTTTAGTATTTGAATCTATTTTTTGTTTTTNGTGAATAATTGAATATTTTAGAACGAAAGAAATTAATGATTTATAGTACTTAGGTATTTTATGCACAACATTATTTACACTTGTTTAAATTTAAAAATAACGTACTTACACTTTAACAACAATTATTATTACTAAACAAAGTAATTATCATATATTGAAATATTTTAAAATAATTAACACTAATTCTAATCTTAAATAATTTGGTTCTGAAATGAACAATATTCAACATTAGTACATGCATGACTATTATTTGTCTTAAAAATACATTCGTATACGTTTTGTGTTTTTATTAACACACTATTACGTATTGTTTTCTTTTAAAGTACAACAATATGAAATAAAAACAAATAAAAAAGGCTAAGTGTCGATAAAACAAAAGCATATTGGTATGTAAGGGGAGAGAATGTAGGGTAAACTGACGACCCCCCTATGAAGATAAGTGATGATGAATTTTTAACTTTGTTTATAGCAATCGATTGTTTCTACTTTTATTTTCGTTTTTACATTGTTTATTTAATAATTTATTTATTCAAAATGCTTTTGAACTTATCTGCAAAAAAAATATTTTCTTGAACTGCGGTTTATATTTATTGTTTATATAGTACTCGTTAGTATTATTTATATTAATTTTGGGGCTGCTTTAAAAATTGAAGATATCAAATCACAGTTGAAAAGACCTGTAGGATTGCTTGTTGGATTTGCTGGCCAGTTTATTTGTATGCCCTTGGTAAATATCTTTTAAAGTGTTTTGAAGAGTTTTGATTAATTTTTTTTGTTATAATTTCAGCTAAGTTATATAATTGGTTACGTTCTTTTTCCTGACAATCCAGCACTGCAACTTGGTATATTTTATACAGGCTGTGCCCCCAGTGGGGGCGCCTCTAATATATGGACAGCCCTACTAGACGGTAATATAGATCTGTCCATAGCTCTGACAACTATGGGCACGTTTATCGCTTTTGCAACGATACCATTCTGGACATTTACCTTGGGTGCCCTTATTTTTGATAAGAACAATTTAGAAATACCTTACAGGTACAATAAANTACATTAATATATGTTATAAGAAATGAAATATTTCTTTGCAGTCAGCTAATCGATGAGGCAAAGAAAAAGAAATCAAAGAAGCGCAAACGAGAAAAGTAAGTTCAATGTTCACAATTACTGTCGTTTCGCTCACTTATTAGTGGTCGTGTTCATGTTTCTTTCCAATTCAAAAAAAATAATCGTTTTTGTACAACATTTTCATTCATATTATGATTTTTTTAACTGTTTTGTTTCCATGTTGTGTGCGAATTGTTATTTTTATTGTTTGTTCGATTTTGTTAAGTGTTGTTTGTTAATCACAAATAATTATTATATTTCCTCGTACTAATGTAATGGTAATATATTTTTTGCCGTGCGTAAAGAGTTGAGGCCTTCAGGTAAAGGTATGGTTTCGTTTATAGTTTGTAACTGTTTCATTTTGTTTACATTGAAAAATCTGTATAGCGCAACCTAGGCTGGAACCGAAGGTGCGTTATCATCACCTGAATTTCAAACTGTTCACTTCTTTGAATCACTTTTAAAAAAATTTTCAGTTTGACAAACTTGCAGTGTTTGTTCCCGTTTTTACTTGGGAATTCGCCAAGTATCCAAAAGATCCTAATTATTTCAAAAAGTAACTATTTTTGACCCTCTATTGTCTCACAAGTTTCCTTGTTTAGTATTTGAATCTATTTTTTGTTTTTATCATATTTCTATACCACCTGGAGGGTGTTGGATGTTTGGCGAAAAGTTTTGTAGTCTTGTTGCTCAAACTGAATATTTCAAAATGCATGGTTTGTTTTTCAACAAAATTGTCTAAAATAGAAGGTTTTTTCTTTTTTGAAGATCAGGAAAAAAGGACAAAAAGAAAAAGCGCAAACGCCGTTCGACCAGCTCCTCTTCAGAAAATTCAGAGTCGGACTCAGGAGTAAAGGATACCGACAGTGAAAGCGAGAAAAAGAAGAAAAAACGCAAAACAAAAAAGAACGAGGTTAGACCTGTTTTTCTCTAATATTCTTTTAAGTATATTATTTTTCTTTCTACATACATGTAGGACGACAAATGATAAAAAAAAATGGTGTAGAAATTTAATTATTTCCCAAAGAATTTGATTTTAAAAAGTAAATTTGTTCTGTTTGACACCTCTTTGCAACATAGGATGTGTACGAACTGACATCTAGATCTAGTAAGTACCGGCTAATCCAATTGCATGTGATAAAAGGAAAAAAGCGCCTTGTAGAAAAAATAATTTCTAAAGTTATATTAAATCACTAACAACGTTGAGAAGAAATCGTCAGTTAAAGATATTTTATCGACAGCCTCAGATTTTTTCTGTTACATTTGTAAGAATAGGAATTATTAATAAGACTTTTTTTCATTAAAAAAATGTTATCTAGATAATAGTTGCATGAGATGTTTTTGCCAAGGTTTGTTTTTATTCTTCACACAATGGTACTTTAAATATAGTATTTTTTTATTAATAATTGATAATATTAATGACACATATTTTATGTATTTGTATTTTTGATTGTGAATGTACTAGTTTTGAAAATGGACCGTGTGATGCAAATTTCTTCTTTATTTTGTACAGAAAAAGAAGACCGAATCCAAAAAGAAAAGAACTCCTAGCGAAGATTCCCACGAAAGGTACGAAACGAAATTTCGCTATTAGCGATTACTGTGTTGTTAATTAATGTATTAATCTTTTATAATAACAGTTCTGAAGAGGAAATTCCAAAGAAGAACAAATCCAACAAAAGAAAACTAGACGACGACGAAGACACCTATCAGAGAAGAAAGTCTAGAAGAGACAAAAGTGTAGAAAAAGATACTAGACGTCGCTCCTTGAGTGAAGATAAGAAGCATAAATCCCGCAAAGACAAGTCACCGAGCAAAGAGATACGGAATCGCAGAGACAAATCTGTAAGCAAGACAAGAAAGGCAAGATCCAGAAACAGAAATAGAGCATGTAGTGCAGACAGAAACGAAGAAGTTCGAATTAGGAGACACACAACTAGATCTGCAAGTCATGAAGAGAAAGAACGCTCACGAAGCAGACATAGGTCTCGTGGTAAAAATGAGAGATCTTCAAGTAGAACTAGAAGAGATAAATCAAAAAGGAGAAATCATTCTAGAAGCAGATCTCCAAGTAACAGTACAAGAGCTAGACGATCAAAATCTTTAAGCAAAGATCGTAAGAGATTTAACAAGGGAAGTCGAAAATATTCACCCACACGAGACACCTCCCATTCTCCAAGCCAAGAAAGACCTACTACTAAAAAGTCGTCCATCAGGTCTCCATCTAAATCACCTAGGCGTGAAGCAAGGTCAGAGAACAAACAAAAAGAACGCAAATCCAGGTCCAAATCACCTTTAAGAAGAAGAGAAGAATCCACATCTAGAAAAAACTATGAAGATAGAAATAATAAATATTATGGCAGCAGTAGCAGTAATAGCAGAAATAGGGGAGGTACAAGTCCTCCATACAGACACAAAAGTCCAGTAAAAGAAAGATCAAAATCCAGAGATTCTGCCGATTACAAGAAAAAGAATTACGATAAACAAACTTCTAGAAGAGAAAGATCTACTTCGAAAGAGTTTGCGAAATATACGCGAAAAGAGAATGAAAAGCCAGATCGTAGAAGCAGAAGATCAAATTCGAGAGATTCTTCCAAGAATACCCGCAAAGATTATGACACCCAACGAACAAAAAAGGAAAGATCTCGATCTATGGATTCAGTCGATCGTATTGATAAACATTCTAAACATAGTTGGTCCAAGAAAAACAGATCCCGTTCTAAAGATAAAGAATCTTGCATGACACCAAAACGAAGATCGTATCGATCACCATCGCCGAATAAAAAAATAGAAAAATCAAAAGAGCAAACGTCACGAAACTTTACAGAATTATCTTGGAAATCGAAAAGATCATCTTCTTGTTCTAGATCTCCCAAATTAAAACCTTTCAATCACAAAGAAGGCACAGATCATACTAGAGCTTCTGAAAAGATGGACAGATATGAAAGGAATAGAGAGAAAACGCCAAAAGCACTATCAAAGGAAAAACATTACTCTCCAAAAGAAGACAGCAAAGAGATCGAAAGTAGTAGACATCATTACCGAGAGAGAAGTGATAGACATACGTCACCGTCATCTCCTCCAAAGAAAACAGGTGTAGTTAAAAAAGATTCATCTCATTCTTCTGATTATTTGCCTACTGGAAGTCCACCAAGAAATAAAAGCAAATCGCATGAAAAACGCAGCAGAAGTAGATCAGTTGAAAGAAAAAAGATTGACCGAAGAAGCCCATCTTTCAGTAAAATAAAGAGCCCCAAAATTAAACTCAAACCAGACAGTACACCACCTATCGAAAACAAATCCAAACGGGAAAAGAAATCAGACGATAAAAATCGCCAACAGATGCCAGTGGTACGTTTGAGATCTCCTAGTGACGACGAAAAAAGCAATGACGAACACGAACGTAGCGAGGACGAAGAAAAAGAAAAAGAGATGCGAATGCTAAGACTGCTTAAGTCTGGCTTGGCTGCCAAAGCTAAAGAATCACTAGAAAAAAAGATTCCGAAGATGACGAATAACAAAGAAGTATCAAGTGTTTTAAAGATGAGCAGGAGTAGCATGATGAAAGGTGAAAGTCTAGATCCCGATTCTTTCGACATCAAGGTGTTACCAACAACTAATAAATCGTCAGCTGATGACTTAACACCTGTAAAAGACAAATCAAAATTGAATAACGACGAAATCAGCAGTGATTTTGTACCCTTTAAAAAGGACAAAAGCAGTTTAAGAAAACGTGCCAGCGCCAGCACAAGTAGGTCCAGGTCACCATCTAGAAATAGCAGTGAACGTAGCAACAAGTCCAAGTCTAGATCCGGAAGCTCCTCGAGATCCTACAGGTATTAACAGTTACTTAAAGACCAATGCCCAATTGCCTGAATTGTATTTTACAAAGAAGATAATTCAGATTGCTTTGATAGGCAATTGAATTTTCTTTTTTGTTTTTAAATGTGATAGCCATAGTATAAAATTATATCCTAATAGCTTTCTCTAAAACAAACTCACTTATCCTCCCTCTTGCAAAAAAACCCGTACCTGGGCATTGATTTATTTAAACAATCAATTCTGAATATATATTAAAGCCCTTTCTTGTGCTAGTGGTTCCAGAGGAAGCCGCAGTCGCTCATCTTCAGCAAGTTCCGCATCTGGATCAAGATCTAGATCAAGAGAGAGGAGCAGTTCGAGAAGTAGTTCGTCATCTTCCAGTTCTAGTTCATCGAGGTCGAGGTCCCCTTCTATTCCTAGACGTAAAGGTTCTCCCAGTTTTTTGGACAGACGCCGTATAACAAGGTGAGACGTAGGCGCGATGTGTAGGACTGACTCCATTGCTTCACTGACGCGCCCCAAAAACTCGTGAAATTGAAAGTTTTTAGTCGTTACATTAAGAGAGAAAGCGAGAGGGAAGAATGTTTTGTTTTTATTATTTTTTTTGTTTCGTGTCTTTGCAGTGAGATGAGATGTAATTTGATGTTTTTCTTAATTTTTTGAACGTGTAATCTTTACTATTATTGTATGGAGACGTTTTGTAGAAGAAAATAAATCTTTATTTACCTTATTTTAGGTTTTTATTTTAATTCACGTTGATGTTATTNTTTTTATTTATTTACTAAGTTTTAATTTAATTTCTCTGCCCTCTCTTAATCTTCGTTAAATTAGTCTACATGTATCCATATTTTAATGATTGTCTGCTATGAATTTTTAGTCTTCTGAGAATTTTAAAGCTATTTTTGGTTTTGCTCATGATTTGTTTATCACAACGGCTAAAAGTACGGGATTATAAAAATATTTTTGGTTGCAAGTACCATGAAGGGAGTACGCATGAACTACCTACACTTATTACAATCTAAAATTTTCGAATATCAAAAACTATCTCGTTATATTGTGTGTTAGAATGTAATTGCTTTTGCTCATTATAAATTTAAGTTAATTTGCCATACTTATAAATCAGTACTAAAACACACATCTAGTCCCTTCTATAAACGTACGGCTCTAAAAACGATGTATTTTACTAACTAATCGTTTAGTGCTTGAGAATATTCTGTATGTGACTTGCTATTGTTACAATGCCATTAATAATTCGAATGGCTACTGTTACTAACAGTTACTAACAAACTAACAGCGCTCGTAAACGTCCAATACCTTATCATCGTCCGACGCCCTCGTCGCCATCGTCAGTCAGCAGTTACAACAGTGATAGTCCTTGGTATTCAAGGCGTCACACAACTAGTCGCAGCCGAAGCAGGAATTCACAAAGCAGGACCTCCAGGTCCATTTCGAGTTCGCGATCGAGGTCGGCAACCACTCCTTAACGAGGGTGGCTTTTAATGGTAATTTTGAGTTTGAAAATTCCGATACGTTATCGGTATCTTCCAAATTCGACAATCTCTTTCGGATTTATACGATCTAGAAGTGGTATGTTATACAGAGTGTTTATAAAAAAGTTGGACCAAAAAAGCGAAGGAAAAAGAAACTAGAAAATAATGTTTTAACTTATACGTACGTACAAACAATGTAAATGAATAATTGCAGGGAATTTCCATGAAAAAAATGTAAATAAAGATTGTTACAGTTACAAGGAATTATAATAAGTAGCAAAATTTCATATCCGTCAAATTACGATATTATTGGGAACACTTCTTTATGACACTCCGTATAGTAGCAATTAAAACATTGGTTCTGTACCACAAAAATTAAAGTATGTACTTGTACAACAAATTGAATCAAAAAACATATTTTATTTAATTAACAATGTTGTGGAATGGTACTGCCAAAAAAAGCCAAAATCTAGTGTCATAGTAAATTAATAAAATTTGGAAATTCAATGATATTAAACTACAAGATATTTTGAGAAACTTTGAAGACATAAATATTATATAAAAGTAAATAACAAATATTTCACGATAACATTGCTGGCTACTTCGTTAAAGAAACATTTTTTAAACAAATTAAAGGACCCAAATACTTACAGGGTGCCATATTTTGTCCATAATATGTATTGTTTTTATTTAACTTAATTTTGTTTAAATGGAATTATATATTAACTTACCATTTTTATCTTATGGTTAATAGATAATTGTCGTTTCGTGTATTTGTTGTTAGGTGTATTTATGAATGTGTTTGGGTCCTTTATTTCCCAAAAAATAATGTGCAATAAAAATTATTATAAGAATGTAAAACTACAAACAGACATTCCATACATAGATTTTCTGTTGTAAAATGAATTGTATGTAAAGCAAAAAAATCTAGTCAAAGATGTAATACTCAATAAGAAATCCGTTTTATTATGGTGATTTAATATAATAGTACCTACGTGATACATTTTAAAAAGAAAAAAGTAACAGTATTAATTAAAAATTATTATTGCTGTTGCACACTTACTAAAAGATGAGATTGATAAAATAACGAAACTATGTAAATGACGAACTTTTTGCTTTTTAATAACAGATTATCAAATGATTATTTTTGTTAATGGTACCTAGTACAAATTCATCGCATTCCAGTTTAAATCTGATGTATTTATTAATTACAATATTTATTTTTAGAATGTAAGATACTGATATTAATTTATTGATTAAATATATTTATAGTTGTATAGCAAAAATGGTTTAATCCATGACGTTCAAGATATTAAATTAATTAGTATCAATTAATTTTTTCAGTTCAAGGCTTGAATATTTACTGGGAAAAAAGAACTTAAAAAGAAAAGCATGTTTAAGATCATAACTGAACTTAAATAGGCATGGATTTTTTTACACCCCTACAAACAATTTTGTTGATTATTTTGTGGGGGATCTGTGACAATTTTTTTCAATATCTACAGCTGTATCTGGTAAAAAAAATATAGTAAAGTGAGAGTTTAACTTATCAAATACATTAATGATCATCGAAATTTTAGTTGAGTTAGGCTAATTGACTAAAACTATTTTATTAGATACAATTGCTGAAATTGTCCAGTAAATATATTAAACCTATAGTTTGTCTGATTATATTATTTATTCGCTTATTTATTGTCTTATAGTAAATTAATATAGTTATAATTTTTTGTACAAAAATAATATACTTAGTGTCACTAATTTAATAACCAGTGATAATGATCTGATAATTTTTAGATTCCCTTTTTATTTCCTTAATTATTTAACAAGCAATATGATAATTACAAATGTTTCTAGTCGAATTATACT